TCAAGAATGCATCTCGAAACGATTCAGAATTTGATAATTTATCAAAGAACATTTTTCATCAGATCCAAAATCATCCATTTTGCGTTGTTTATTTGTTTTAAATCTTTACGATTAACTGTCTATTATTGCTTTAGCAGGACCATCGTCAGTGTTTTAAAGCTTTCATGGTAGCACCTGGTATCATTTTAAAATTGTTTTTTATGCTATTCAGATGCTGTGATCACGTAATCAGTTCAGTTGAGTCTTTCATATAGTGATCAAGCGTAATGTTTTCGGGAACACCACCCTCTCTAATTGGTAACATTTTTTCAATGTTTCTTAATATCCTTTTTACAATACTCTACCTTACACTTTTATGGAAGAACTCGTACATTTTTGTTAATAAGAAAGTGTCTAAGCGTAATGCTCAGATATTTATGATTAGATGCTGACAATAAGCAGTCAAAAAAATATCCGAATAACTTTCTTGTAATTCGTACTCTTGATTTGCGCAACTAAAAGAAATAATGCCGTCTTACATTTACTATAGTCTGACGTTCTTTTAAAATGTCAGTTGTTCGACTTTTTCACATCGATATGTGCTGTTTAAGAGGAAAATCAAAATTCATCCATTTACAAAAAAGGGAGACCTTATCTGCAGTGCTCGAAAAATACATTAGTTTCAAGAGAAGGCTTCCGACAGATTAAAATAACGACTTAGATTACTGATTCTTATATAGAATAAAACGGAGAATGATGGCTAACCATTGATAATAAGGAAAACTCTTAGCTTCTGTTTTTATACAATTCAAGATAAACGAAAACAACTGCAGTTGTTCAGATACATTCTTGACAGTCTGTGCACATAAATAGGACAACCAAATAAACTAGAAAGAGTGAGGGTATATTTAAAAAGTACTGATTCACCTTCTCCGTGTAACAAAATCTGGACTGTCAATCATTTTTGTTGTTATTTAATAAGTTTAGTAGAGGTAGACAGCTAGAAAAAATAGTGATTAGAAAGAAATTCTGTCATTATAGACGCGGCACTAAGAAATTTAACTATATTTTGTGTAAAATTTGCTGAAAGAGAGAAATCTATACGGAATAAAATTGACCAACTCTTGAACATTTTCTTCTTTGGGGGCAAAATATAGGTAAAATAGGAAAATCAATCAAAATATAGGACAAATATTCATTGGACAAAAGTTATAGAAAATATAGATCGAATCTGATCTCAGTATATTACGAGTCGCGTTTATTTTTTGTCGAAACTAATTTATCATTATTGACGAAATAAATATTTTTGTTTTCGAATATATTTTATTTTATGAAGTTCCACAATTTTCGATCAACATCTATAGAAAATCAAAAGCTTGTTAGTGCACCGGCTGAAATATGAAACTCATATCAAGGCTGACTCAGAACTGTGGACTAGAGAGACTCAGCCCTCCCTACTAATCTCTAAGCTTCACCGATGATATTTTCGAAAGATGTTTTCTTTCTGATACAAAAATGTATTAGTTTTTGCCATGAAACATTTAACACAAAATAAGATATACATGCTAAAATGTTTCATTGCAATTTTGCATCAGAAAAAATACTTCTTTCAAAACTCTCGAAAGGAGGCTGAGTCCGATCCTGGCCCTCAGCCACTGGTCACAGATATTTTCATACATTAAACATTGCCTCACTATCACTAGTGCATATATTAGTACTTTGATTCTATACTGTTTCTTGTACTTAGTTTTCTTTTTGATCTTAAAATTACAGCCAAGGTTGTTTGTCATGCAAACTCTTATTTTTGCCTGTGTAATTATAAGTGATAGCAATGTTAAAATGATTGATTTATGCCTGTGGTTGCTAAGATCTGTAATGGAAAAGTAGTCACAAGACTTTGACTGAAAACTTATATTCACCACTTTCTTTGAAAATATATGTGAGTTCTACAGAACGAAATTTTCTTTTTTACTATTAATTCTGCACAGATCGATATTAAGGTTATCATAATGCATTGTTGTTTGCAATTAAATCCGTAGAATAAACATTATATTGAACAGACCGTGATTAAATTGGTTTAGCAAATGTCAAATGATATGTCAAAACTTTTAAAATCATTTGCTTCATATATATTTATATTTTAAAATTAGACAGCTTAAACTCAAACTTATTTTTTATGAAAGACATTTATCGATTGTAAATAATTAGTATTTCTATCAATATTAAGTTACTGTAATAAATTTTCAATATGATATTTATGTTTAGTTGAATGCCTTTTTGATTGTTCATTTTTTCCAATAAAATTACAGATTGTTGAATCAATTTTCAAATGTTGTTCATTATTTAATGTAAAAGAAGAATTTTGTGTTATTGGCGATATTTGATGACGTATCAGATCGGATATTCTTGATTCATTTGCATTATTTGACATGATCAAATGTCTCTTGTCATTCAAACTTGAACATTCACTTAAATTATCATCATTTATATCAATTGTATGATTTTTCGACGATTGATCAATAAGCAATTTTTGTTTTTTTCGAAATTTTGCTCGTCGATTTTTAAACCATACCTAAAATAAGAAAAAAATCTGTAACATAGTTCATTTTGATATGCTCTTACTTGTACACGAGCTTCAGGTAAATTAGTATAGAGAGCAAGTTTTTCTCTCATAACAATATCAGGATAATGAGTCTTAACAAAACATCTTTCTAAGGTTTGTAATTGTTGACTGGTAAAAGCTGTACGAGAGCGACGTTGTTTACGTGGATGTCGAGAATCAAGAAGAAACTCTATTATGTATTTGGATTCATTTAAAAAAAAATACAATGAAACAAAAAAAGAAAACAAATACCTGTAAATCGATCAGGTGATCCATGAAAAAATGGCGTTACACTAGCACTTACAGATGACATCAATGGATTGACAAAAGATGACAATGATGAATAATAGATTGATGCATATGGATGCATTTTTTAAAAATCACTTAGTGATCTTTCTCCTTGTATGTGTATGTGTTTTTCTTTTTGTTTTTTTTGCTCTTCTTATTCTTCATTTCATAAATCCTTTGTGCAATTAAAATCATTCGATAACATTTTCTCGGATTTAGATGATACTTCGAACGTGCTATCATTTAGATCTTTTCATTCACACAAATTAGTTTTTTTGTAATCATCAATTGATCATTCTATTTTGAACTTAAATGATGAACAATGACAAAAATACATTCGTTTTTGATCATGTTGTTATTATTATATAATTGGCTTTTTTTAACCAATGATAAACATATGAGAAGAGGCTCAACTTCTTATCATTGAGAGTTATGGGTGTCTTTGTTTTTTTTTTCTATCAAGAGAAAGAAATTATATATGCACTCTCTATTATTGATAATTCTTAAGCGTTGTTTGACACGTTTGCTCAACAATGAACTAAGGGATTGCTTTGACTTATTGAGAGGAATGTAGAACATATCAGAAAGAGATAAAGTAAAAAAAAAGAAGACAACGAAAAGAATGATAGAGAAGATTAACACTCAAAAGTTATTGAAAGATTTTTTTGATATTGTGAATTAAGAATACAACCATACAAATTCGATTAAACACGTAGATCATCACCCTAATAGGTCAATAGAAAACATTTAAAGACATTTTTCTGTTTTAATTAGAAGAATCAAACCATTCAAAAGTCATTCATGATAATTGACATGTTCTCAGTGTTGTTGTTTTTTTCAATGTACTAAGTCTCAACATAAGTCATTGTAGAATGTGGTATTGAGATCAATCTTAGATTGACCTATACAAATCTTGGATATTAATACATCCAAGATTTAATAATACTTATGAGTAAAGTTCCCCAACTGATTAAACGCTTTTGAGTCGAGACTACATGCATTATGTAGACCCAAATGAGCTATGAATAACCTGAAAAAAGTTCGTGTCTTTAGCTTATCACTCCGAAGATAACATATTTTAGGGTATTTTTTTAATGAATGCCGTGGTCTACCTCAACGACACCAGAAAAATAGATTTTCCAATTTCGACTTGACTAAAATAAGAAAATCGAATCTGCTGGGGTAGATGAGCGATGTAAGAAATACTCTCTTACTGTAATTCTATTTTAGGATAGGAATAATGAAAAGATCTGAAACTTTCAAAAGAAACTATTCTCGTTAAGGCGTGTCTGTATGCAAAATTTTAAGAAGGAATTCGAAAATCAGCTTTTCTTCTGCATCTGAGTGGAGCCACGACATTTATTCAAAAACATACTGTAAAAGTGCATTATCTCCGCAGCAATAAGTACATTGCATGAGCTCTTTCACGATATTCATACCTCATTCGGATCTACATAATGCACGCAGTCTCGATTCAAAAGTCACTTATCAGTTGAGATACTTCTTTTATTAATAGAAATTTAGTTTGGACTTTGAAACATGTCAAGAATGAAGCATCTTATATTTAAACATAAAGACATGGCAATTTTTTATTCTTATTCATAACTGACATTTACATCATAGCTCGAAAACATCGTATCTTCATCGTTTAATATTATTAATCGTTTAAGTACTACTCAGTATATTGTGTTTAGTGCATAATTATAAATATATATACGTATATCAGATGAGAGAAGTATTTTCAATGGTATTATCTTGGAGCGTTTATTAATAATGAAATCGTAGAATTGATTTTACAATTCAATCTAGATTTGAATTGTTTCATTGAACATTTTTATTATTTTAAGGCAAAGAATTCTCATACTTATATATGTAATTATTTTTAGAAATATATTCCTTGACCAGCAAGTATGATAATGATTTATGAGAACATACAATAATGCAATTTTTTTCGTCATTTTATTATGTGTTTTTAAGTTCAAGACTTCAAGGTTTTTTGAACAAAGTCATATTTCAATAAAACTTGCTTTACAAGCACTCAAGTAACAGCAATTTACTATTGAGTTACTTCAAGGATTTTATGTTCTTTTATTTTATCTTGAATATAAGCATAAAAAACAATAATGATATTTCATTGGGTATTTGATGTATCATCTGAATTTGTTGTTGGTAGTTGTAGCTGTGGCTCCATATCTTGTTTCTTTTTCCTCGATTTTTGTTGTTGAATATTAGTACCGCTACATTTTAAACAATCATTCATTAACTTTAAATGACCTGTTATTGGATCTAATTGACTATCAGTACCAAAAAGACCAAGACATGTAATTGATCCACTGGCGATTTCAGTTCGACCTGCATCACGAATGATTGATGCAACAACAGATTTATTTACGGATGCACGCTGTTCAATATCAAGTAGCTCTTCAGAAGAATCACCACGAACAACAATTTTTCTTTGACCACTAATGCGCCAAAAATTTATAGCCATCAGACGTCTATCAAGAATTTGTTGATATAAATCAACAGCAGCATGTGCAACTTGTGCTGCAATCTTTCCGGAACTCATAGAAAGTGAACCATTAACAATAAATAACATTTTATAGTTCATCATGTTTTGATCAGTTGTATCACTATCAGTTGGTATTACATTCTGAAGAAAAAATAAATTATATCTACAATTAAGTTTAATTTAATGAAATATGATAATGAATAATATATTAACCAACAAAGCGATCATAAATTTTAATTTGATGTTTAAAAGTCAATTCAATAATGTTATCTTTTTCGGCTATGAAGAATTAATTCTGATTGTTTTCTAAATAATTGAAATAGTCGCGAAAAACAAACAGCACTTTTCTTGTCTTTTTTTTCATATTAATGCCATGATGATGATGGTAAACAATGATATGAAGAAAAGAAAGAAGTTGAGGGACAATTCTCAATGATAGCCACATCGAATATATTTTCATAAATCAGAGAAGAACGATAAACAGCAGAAAATTACTGATCAACTCTAATTCCTGGATCATTCATGATTTTAAAAGAATGATTTTTGAGCACTAAGGCTACCGATTCATATGAAGTTTTTACTACAGATAGAGCACCTAAAATAAGGGCACACATATTCAAGGACAAAAATTTTAAACGAACATTACGCGGTTTTTTTCGAGAGACTAACCTTCCAGAGGACCATATCGAGTCTGCTTACGACCTTCATATAACTTTGTTTGATTCTGCTGAAAGAAATACGTTAAGGTTCAGATCCTAAACCTGAGTGCTAGTGTTGAGGACTCTATAAATCCCGAGAGTAAGGTCAAAAACAAAAACGGTCAATTTCACCTCTAGGAAATATTTCCAAGTATCTGCACTCGAAATTTTAGTCTGTTCAAACAAATTTATAGGGGAGTCATAAGCACACTCGACGTAGTCCTATAAAAAGCCGGAGTTTTCTGGAAAACCCCAGATACTCTGCTTAAATTTTTTTCCTCTAATGCATATCTCTTTATTTTAAAAGAAGATGAGACTTTATTCAATAATATTCTTGAAGGAATATAAATATCCAACCTACCGATTCATAACATACTTGAGTGGCCTGTTCTACACTAGCTCCATTAGTTGATGCCACAGACTCTGTAGAAAAGGAAGGCGATTCGCCAAAAACAACAGCCAATGCATCTTCCAAACTTCGATTATTAACAATTCTCAAAGCCTGAAATTGAAATTTTCCTGACGAAAATATGAAAATAACAGAAAATAAGAACCTGTCGAGCATCTTCCCGATGAATACCCATTTCCATTAAACTCTTAAGAAATTGTTCATTGACATCACTGGTCGAATAAGAAGATGCAGCAGCAGCTGCTGCTGGAAAACCTTCTGCCATAGTGATTATTAAACAATCTAAAATAACTATATCGTCTTTGATTGGTTTATTTAAATAGATTATTCATGCTCAAATATGATGCAATAGTGTCGCTTTTCGATGACGTCATCTTTATCATGCATAAAATGAAAATAATTTTTATCGAGTTATTATTAAAATTTGAGTACTTATAAATAGACAAACACGCATACTAAGTCAACATAGTGTAAAAACACAAACGAGAATAGCAACCCACAATGTTCGGACTTGAATATGTGCACGATAAAATATGGAATGATGATGAATAATAAGCAAGAAAAAGCAGAAGAAAAAAACAAACAAAGCAATCACATGTTTTTGTATAGGTTCAGATCTTTCAGAATGAAAAAGAAACTTGAATTTATTTGGGCGGAAGTGCCGTAGATCGATACCGGGCCGATTTCGGTTTATCAACATTTAATGATGGACGTGGAATTTTCGATTGAAATGCTGTTGTAGTTGTTGGTGTTGTTCCAGTAGTATTTAATGTCGGTGGTGGTGATGGTGCCACAACAACAGATGGTGAAATACCTCGTCTTATTGTACCTGTTCGATTTCCATTATTTAGTTTTGGACTAGAAACAATAACTGGTTTATTAGTTGTCGCCGCAGCAGTTGCATTGGCAAATACATTTGATAGACGTGGTCGACGTGCTACTACGGATGCTGGTGACTGTGTTCTTACTGTTTGTGGTTTAGACGTTGGTAATTTTGCAGTAACTGCAGAAGACGTTTTTCGTTGTGGTTGTGTTGGATTTGTTTTTGTAAATAAAGAATTTATTTTACGCGATAATGTAGAACGTAATGAATCAGCTGGTTGAGTAGTAGTGATAGTAGTAGCAGTAGCAGCAGTATTAGTGGTGGTATTTGGTAGAAAAATTGGTTGTGTTAAAGTTCTTGATGGACGTTTTGATATAGTCATAACCCAATCTCGTGCACTGCTTTTAGTTGACTGCATACTAATTATAGATGTATTTAATTGTTCTTCAATATTTGCTGGAATAGCTTCGGGTTTATAAACTAAACGAAAAGCAAGGGGAGAAAGTTTTTCTACTTGTGCCATTATACGATCAAATAAATTAAATGTTATTGGAGTAAATGTTAGAATTAGAGCATCAGGAGATTGATAATAACGTTGAAGAATTTCTTTTTGTTTCATAAAATGATAAAGCCAATTAATGAGTTCATTTTTGCTAGAATATAAAAATTAAACAAAAGAAAACAAAAAAAATTATTTACTTTAATAGTGCAAAAATAAATGCTTGAAATTTATAAGGCCAATACGCTGAAGCATTCTGAGCAATTTGTTTAGCTTCATAAAATACTTGAAGAGCTTGTCCTGGAAGAGAGAAAAAAGAAGAAATTAAAATTTTCAAATGATTATTTATTTATTTACCATGATCAATCGATGTTTCAATTATTTTCCATAAAGTAATTTGTTTAACTAATGGAAGATCTTTTCGTTGTGGTTTAAGACCATGTTCAAGAATGTTTTGAAGAGTTGTACATAAATCATTTTTAAGTAATAAGTCAAATTGAATATGATTTTCATTAGTAAGAAAAAATGTCTAAGGCAAAAAAATAAACAGTTAATGATTAATTGCATTAAGAGTATTTTTACTTTTCCTGATCGTTTTATTTCGAATATGCGTTTAACAATACCACTAACTATTTCTAAAAGACCTAAATAAAATAAATTATTTGAAAATAATCAATTAATCTTTTTGTTTCTACCATCAAGAAATGGATCATTTGTTTGAATTAATGTTGTTGTTGATTCGTTCATAATTAATGCTTGCTCAGGAATTTTATTTTCTTTATCATTTGAAGATGTCATTTTTTCAATTGTTGAATTAATTTCATTAGTATCGATAATAACAGGTGTTACAGAAGATTCAACAACAGTTGGTATAATATTCACGTGGGTTTTTTCCATAATAGTTTGATCATCTTCATCTACTTGTTCTGGAGCAAGACTATCAGTTTCTTGTAAACGAAATTCATTTGGCGGACTTTCCGTAAATGAATGTAAATGATGAACACGATCGACAACAATAATATCAGCTTGAAAAAACAAAAATAAAAATTTCTCACATGAATCAGATAAAATACACATTTTTGAAATAACTTACTTTGACATCGACGCATATCACCATAGCGTAGTGTAGTTTTTTTTGTTAAATTTTCTTGATTACCATGCAATGCTACGGCTAGATGATTATTATTTGATGTTTTATAATTATTGAAAGTATGTATTTCTGGTGCTGGATCAAATTTAATAGCTGGATTACATGGTGAAATAAGATGTTTAGCAATATTGTCGGAAAAACTAACACTTTTTTTCGTTTGATTTTGTTGTTGTAATGATGTTAGATCATGATCAGAACGATGTTCACGAGAAAAATCTTGTAAAACATAGCTATTTATATCATTTGATGAACCAGTAGTAGGAATATTTGATGGCCAAAGATTATTAGGACGACCTACTGGAACATCAGCTTCTGAACAACGACGTTTCGTTGTAGGAGACGATGAATCCTAAATAAAAAAAAGCTGCTAGTGCGATTACTGCAGGATTAAAATTTAAAACACAATGTAGCTGCTGTTGCTGATCGCAGTGATATATTGAAGCGAGCCATTATTGAGATACAATCTCATGGAAGTTTGTCATAAAATTCGAACCGATTTCATATATGCTTACCACATCTCTTCTTACCCTATCGCTTGTTGGTTGAGGAATAGTTAATGCAGGTGCAGGTGCGAGTGATATTCTGTCTTGTAACATAGCTTGAATATCACATGAATTCGCTCTGGGTCCATATTTAAGACAAGATTTGAGATTTGATGTTTGTTGTTTTTGTCCTTTAGGAAATGAAGAAGGTGGTGGTAATTTCATTTTAATTATTGTCGGCGCTTCATTCGATCCATTAATAACTGCTGATGCTGGCACAGCAGCGAATGTTTTACGTAATTGTGGGCTATAAAAAACGCCTAAAGGTTCAGTTGAATGTTTACTGTTTTTATAACGTTTTATTGATTTAAGTGTACGTGGTCGTTCCGATTCTTGTTTTTGTTGTTGTTGAGTTTCTGTTGGAGAGAATATCATATAGTTAGTATTGGTAGGAAGTGAAGAATTAGGTGGCGTTGATGTTGGCGGTAAAGGTGATGTAGTACGAGATCGAGGTAATTCTTTCGAATATTGAGAAATAAAGGCAAGATCAGGAAGAGATTTATGAATGGATGATGATGAGATAGGTACTGGCGATGGACGTGAAGGGACAGCAAGATGATGAGGTGAGTTTGAACCAGTAGGTGTCTGGAGATAATTTGTTGTTGGTGTAGGTTGAAAACGACTGTTCATTTGACTGCTTGGTGAAGAGTCTAATATAATAGATGTTTGTATCGCTTGATCAGTACTTGAATTTGTTTGCGATGATGGTCTATCTGTATGAATTTGTCTTTTATGATAATGAGATGATTTCGGTTTTTCTGTTATCATTTTTTCACCTGATATTGTCATGCTATCAATATTATTCGGAACCGTTGAATCACTTTGTTGTCGATAAAATTGAAAAGCACTACGTGGTGATGACGTTGATGTACCTATTTGTGATTTTTGTTGAAAGATTTTATAAAGACTTAATGGTGATGGTGGTCGAGTTTCTTTTGGTTCCATACCAGATGTTGTTCGTTGACTTTCTTTCATACGCCTCCATGACGCTGATGATGATGAAGATGTTGATGAATTTGGTGAGTTATTATTAATTGGTAATTGTTGTTGAGGAGAAAATGATGTTGGATGAGATTGTGAACGAACAACTGTTGCTTGTTGATCGATTGTTGGTGGTATTGGTGTTTTATTTTCACGTTGTTCCATGGATTGTTCTAATGCATTGAATGATGACCGCATTGACCAATCATTCATATTATTTGCTGCAGTTGGAGATAAACCATCATCAGAATAATTTGAACTTGATTGTGAACTAGAAAAAAAATGTTCATTTCAAAAGTTGTTTTCGATTTGAAAATTGTTATTTTACTCTGTTGTTCGATGTTTGGGATGACGATGACGATGATGATGATGTTTATGCCGATGAGACCTATCTTTTTTTGATTCAGTTTGTGGTGGCTTATCAGTGCTAAATGTTAAACGATAATTAGCTCGTGTATCATATTGATCATCCCATGTAAAACCACCATCTTGATCATTATATAAACTTTGATCATTAGCCGGTGGTGTTTGTTGTTTTTTAACATCACTTTCGAACAAATCACGATGATTCAAAAGACTATCCATAGATAAATTTTCATTATTATAACCACCTATAGTACTTGTATTATTAGTTAATGCAATACTTTTAACAAGAAAATTATCATCTGATGGATCATCAATAGCCATTGTTTGTGATGTAACAACTGAAAATGATCTTGTTATAAGTTCTTGTCTATTACGATCACTTAATATTTCATCAAAATTATCTAAATCGAGTGTATGTTTTTCGAGATTTTTTATGAGTTGTTCAACATTTTCAAGATGAGCAGCAGATGAAAGTAAAATGGGATTAATCGATGAATCGTTCATGTTTGCAGTTTGTCTACTGTTGCTTCTTATTTTGTATTTTAATTTAACGATTGTTCGGAATGGCAAAATGGAATGACATGAGAAGAGATGAGACCACTGGTCTAGAATACAGAAAAAATGTTTATCAAAATAATATTCATTTCTATTCTGAAATAGAAAAATAAATTCATTCTTCTGAGATGGCTACAGAAAACGAAACAATAATAAATATTGTATATTCTTAAAAAAATAAATACTACATGTGAAAGTTGCCAAATATAAGAGAATACTTTTTTTAATATACAAAAGTTTTAATCAAAATCAATTAAATTTGATCCGTTCGTCTCTGATGAAGAATAAGAATTTTGTTGAGCAGGATTATTAGGCTTTGAATTCAGTTGAGTATTGATTTCATAATTTGATTGAATATTTTTCAGCATATTATTCACATAATTTGTTGGTATTGTTTCAGAAATCGATGGGTGACGATCAGATCTATTCATATCTGAATGAAATGTCATTGACTTTATTTGATTTACATTGTTTGAATTATTAAGTGGATCGAATTGTTCAATAAGTTTATTGATTTCTTTTTGTTCTTCATTGTATTCATGATGTGGATCAATAGGTTTATTATTAAATGTTTGAACTTTATACTGAAGTTCATTTTGTAATTGTTTTATTTTTGAATTTATTTGTAATGTTGTTGAACGAGGAGTTTCAGGTGTTTTATTTATATTTAATTCCATAGGACGTGGTAATAATGGATTCTAAATAAATGAAAACATGAAAAAATTAAATTAGAATATGATTGTACTTCATCAATATTAAAATCAATTAATTGATTGGTTTTATCTTGATAAAATTTAGGAGTTGAATAATGAAATAATGAAGGTGATCTATTAAATATTTGAATATGATTCTATCGAAAAGGATTACCTTTATTTTTTTCTTACTTATCACTTGAATAATTTGATGGGTTTGACTGGAAGAATAAGAATGTAGAAATTATAAAAAGACTTTTTTTGCATTTATTTTACCTGTTGAACTGTTTGATGATTTGTTTCGACCTGAATAAAAATAATTTAGAAGCTTAAAAGTTTAATAGAAATTTTTACTAACTATATCGTCAGTTTTTCGTTGAATAGTATTGTTTATCTAATACAAACGATTTTTTTTCAGTATTTTTATGCGAAATTGTCAAGAACTCACATCAAATGACATGAAGTGAGCTTTTACGGATGAACTTTCATTCGTAACTCGTTCTTCAGGTTTATTTATCTATTAAAACAATTATCAAACATTTTCTTGTGTTATAGGTTGTAACTTACCACAGGTTGTAACTTTGCAGCTATAGTTTGTATTTGTTCAATAAGAGGATTAGTAGTCTAGAGAAAATTTTTTATTTCTAATTATTGAAGTGATATGGGTCAGCAATATCAGTAAAACCAAATCGAAACATTTAGGTAAAACTTTATTCGTTTTATGGATGAATGATTCTTTTCCTTTTAAATATATTAGTGCTCGTGTTTCTAATAGTGTTACCTGTTACATGCTATGTAACTTACTTTATCCGGAATTTTGTTGATTCTTTTGTTGACATTAGGCTAAAAGAAAAGAAATTAATTATTCATTGAAATTTCAGGTTTTTCAATTAAAGACTAATTATATTCGTAATAAACTATCGACTACGCTAGATCACTTAAGCAGAATAGTGTGTAATTGATCTGGTCATCGTGCTTTAAAGCCATCAAAACCCGAAAATGTCTTGTTTACGCATTACTCTTTTTGCAATTACTTAAATTCATTTACAAACAACTAAATGGTTTTTTTCCTCCAAATATATGATAGCATCATTATGTTTTGCTTTCGTTTTCATATTGAATTATTATTGGCATCTAAATATAAGGCAAGTAAATGTTTTTTGAATAGCTGTCGATAGGAGCAAGATAAAGATGCGCAGATTGCACTATTTACAAGAGGACATCGGAGAGCATCAAATCAGCTCAATTTTGATTGCTTCAACGGTTGATCGATGAAGTACATTTTTACAAGATTTTGGAAATGGTTTTCGAGAAAACTATCTCATCATATTTCGACTCATCTTGTGGTTATTCGATAGAAAAAGATTGTTCTTTTCTGATCCATGCATAGTTGACGTCTCTAGCATATTCTATTCAATAGTTATAAGGGTTTTCCAGATATCTCGATCACGGCCTAACCACCTTAGAGCACTTAGAAAAAGTGCAAGGAAAGAGTAATTCATCACATTGAGTCGAGTAGTAATGCTTGTTTTCAGTTTCAAAATTATCTAAAACCATGATTTCATGATTTTCGAAATCTCAAATTTTTGCTGCGACATTGTGAAGAGTTGGAATTTCGAAAGTCTTGTAATAATGACTTGAAATCGTGTGGAAACTAAAAAGAAACATTGCCACTCGACTCAGTATGATGAATTATCCTTGTCTTGACCAATTTCGAAGTGCTCCACGATTATTAGGCCAAAATCGAGACCATCGCAAAACCCTTATAACGCGTGAAAAAAACATGTTAAAGACGTCAGCTTGCATGAGTCGCGAGAGAACAATTTTTTCTATAGAACAACTATAACATGTGTCGAAATGCAGTGGGATAGTTTTCCAGACAACCATTTTCAAAATATCCTCACAGAAACTTACTTAATTCGTCAACTGGTGGGTCAATCAAATTCAAGTTGATTTAATGGTTTCCTATGTACTCTTTTAAATAGTGAATTTTGTAGGTCTATGTCTTGCTCCTATCGAAAGTTATTTAGAAAACATTAAACTTTAATATATTTGGCGTCGATAGTGGTATTTAATTATGTGTTATTGGGTTATAAACATTACGAATATCACACAATGGGTAATTTCTATAGAGCACCTAAGCATGACTTATTTTCTCTCAAAAACCAATTTTTTCATACGAATATTAATTTCCGGTACTCAATAAAAATATTGCTCGGAAAAAAATAAAATTCGTCAAAGAACACTTTCAATGTAAGATGCACCAAGGGCCTCTCATCGTAAACTTTTGTTCGAAAACTTTTTATTTTAATAATTAATAAATAACACATTATTCGATGCAACTTTTCGTGCTGATTCCAAATGTATCCTTATTTTTCTCTTGAAGTACTTCGACGAAAAAAAACGAGAAAGACTTTCAAAAAGCAAAAGTTGTTTTCAAAACCTGTATCTCCCTCCACAATAGACATCGGTGTGACTGTGGCTCGCGAAAATTTCATAGCTTGTACTAATGAGATCTGCTACAAAGCGAGAAGCCACACTAGTAATATGCAAAAGTGCATTGACTCATATCATTGAAGTTGTCGTTTACTTGACAAGTAAAATAACAAGAAAATAATGAAATATTCTGATTCGATGAAGAACAACGTGAATCATGTTCTCCACAGCTGAAGGATGAAATCACCAATGCTTCAGATGAATGTGTCATTCTTTATACTGACTCACTTGCGATTTTTAACATACCAGCTGCTATAAATTTCTTCCAGCGTGATTTTGCTGCTGTTGGTCTTACTCTATTCAAATCACATCATATAATGGTGTCAGATTTGATTACAAGATCTCAAAAGAAGAGTTTGAGTTGGTTTTTAATATTAGTCATGACTGTGAGTCACACCGATCTCTATTCTACAACTATTTATACACCTTTATGCTAACTGATTCGAGGCGTTAGACAGAAAAATATTCTGTGAAGGTTTCATAGAGTTTGGAATTATTCGAAAGTATGCATACTTTTTCCAACAGGGTAATTGTTAAAACAAAGTTTTTCATATAAAACAATAGAGCAAGAGCTCTACGATTTATTCCGTAAATCTTTCTACTTTCTTTAAAATAATTTTTTAAACCTGAAATTTTGCTCTGGCTAAAGTATATTTGATATTATTTAAACCCCAAAAAATATGACTTTCATTTTTTCAATAAATGTTTACGTTGTTGCCACTGTGTATCTGTTCGACTATCAATAACTGATCGATAAATCAAAAAAAATTGTCCAAAAAAGATCTAGTTCACTTCCTAAAATGTATTCAAACTTTTCTTTCATACGACTTACTGTTTTTAATTGTTTGCTTTGTTCAAAATTTTTTACTTCAATATCAAATTCATCAATATCAATATCAGGATGACGTTGTAGATAAGTTCGATGCCGAGAAAACTTAAATTAACAATAATCAAATGCATAAAGTTGTTGTTTCGTTATTACTTGTTCAAATATTTGTGTATTAACGACGGAAGACATAAACGTATACAAGTCAGATTTAAGATATTGTCTCAAGTAAACATTTCTATCAAAATCTAATTGTTCATTTATTATTACAAATCCACTTGCATAATTTCCTGTTAATCAAAATCTAAAACTTTTATTAATCAAATGTGTCTTACTAACCAAAAATAAATGCCATAGCTCGAAGAAAAATTCTTGCTAAGTGATCTTCAATAAATTGCGATGATTGTTGAATATCTTTTTTCATATTACGTATCAAATGTTTAGGAAATAAATTTACATCATCATATTGAGATTCAATTCTTCTATCATCAATATTTACTATTACTACATCACCTAACTCCTTTTTATTCATTCTCGAATAAATACTTGAATGTATTCCAATAATATATGGTGCTGTACATTGTGCTGTCCATGTCATAGATTCGGGAAGAATTGGCAAAAAAATACTTTGCCTGAATGAAAAGAGAAAATATATTTATTTGTTTTTTTTTCTTTTTGTTTTTAAATCAATATAATTCTTACCAATGCATTGGATTAATTAAATGTAAACATCCACAAGTACATGCTAAGAAAACAAAACTTATAACAATAAATTTTCATTGACTATTAAACTAACCAGTTAAATGAGAAAGTTTTGATGAGATAAATAAAATTCTTCTCTCAAAAATTAGATGTGCAAAAAGACGTAAAATCGTATCTGGACCCAATCGAGAAAACATTATTGTAAAATTGCTCTAGAAAATAAATTTCGCTTTTTGTTTTTTACTGGTCATCTTATTTCAAAAAAATATACATTAGATGATATTGATGGAAGTTTACGTTGATCAGGTCGAGGATAACTATGAATCTACATAATTTCAACATAAATTAAATATTCAACTATATTCGATATACTTTTGAAAGATTAGTAATCTCAATAATTTCTTTTGCTCCATTTTTGTAGAACTCTTCAATTGACATTAATTTATAATTATACAATGATGATAAAAATGCTTCAACTTCTGCGACCTTGAAAAGAAAAACAAAAATAACCAAATTGCAGCATGGCAATAAAAACGTACTGATTGTGTGTTAATTATTTGTGATAAATCATTAAGAATGTTACAAAATATCTCAAACCATGGATAATAACTATCGTAAAAAAGTTTCATTTATCTCAAGGGAATTAAAAAATATGCTTACCTGAGTATGCATAAACAAGTAGATTCTCGATTAGATCGACGACAATATCCAAAACGGAAAATTAAACTTGTTGAATCAAGAACAACAAATGTAAAATATTCACTTTGATCATCACTAGAAAAAAATCATCTATTTTTCCATACTTATCTTTTTTTAAAAAAAAATTCTCATACGATGGTATTTGACATGGATATGCAAAATTAGCTGCTGTTTTGAGTATTTGATCTGAGAAATCATTTGGATATTGAATTAAAATTGCAGGTGCTAAAATAAATTTATCTTTTACTTTTAAATATTTATAAAAGTAGACCTACGCTCGTTATTGATCGGTTGATGAATTTCAAGAAAAACTTCAAAAAGGTGTTCAGGAGATTGTCTAAATGAGAAAAATACAAAAAAACGATGAAACAAATCATTGAATTTATCACTTAATACGAGATTCAATTTCTTTTGTTACTAAACCAGAAGCCATCTATATAAAAAGTAGCATGTATTATTGTAATCAACAGTTGTTAGTTCAGGTATATTTTTTACCTGTTGACGTTGAGTTTTCGTGATAAATCACATACCTTTCTCTACCTAAACAAAAATTCTCATTGGACAATTCATAAAAGCCAATAAGAAAATAGCTTGAAGACTCTTGAAAGGAAAGAATTTATTAAAATAAATATTTTTTAAAATGAATTTTAATTCTTAAAGAATTTTACAAAAAATCATGCAAACTTTTTTTGGACAGAATAGTGATCAGTCATTACAGAGAATGAGTAATGGCGGACATCTGTAGCACATCGTAGCGTAACAAGTTGTGACACGGACTCTTATCGGACAAACTATAGTGAAATAAGCAAATGCTCATTGATTGGTCTTTTGATTTTTCAATGAAGTTAGATATAGCTCTAATATCAATAAATAGAGCATATTTTTCTTTATCGAACTGTATTTTTAGTTTTTTTTTAAAGTGGCATGTAAAAGTAGAAAAAAATAGAGGGCACTATTGTACAATGTCGGCATTGTTGCTTGAAGAGAATTGAATTCAACGTCAAATAGTACTAGATCACTCCTCTGATATTTGTCTTGGCTATTTTTGTTAAATATGAATTTAGCTAAACATAATTGTCTCTTGTACAGCAAGCTAATAGATGATGTGCGACCTAATATTATGTGTTATGAAAAGGCACACTACACGATAAATGTTTTCAAACAAAGAAAAATGATCTCATGGATGGACCACGTATAAGTTATAATGGAAAATGTTAAATGCAAAGAAAACTGCCGTCTCCTATTTATTACAATCTAACAGTTCTATACATCAATATTTATCGTCCGTTGTTCTCACCAATGTCAATTAGAAGATACAGATATAGACAGATTGACAGAAAGTTACCATATGAGTTAGACTTGAATAGTTTCAATAAGAATCATGTGAATATATTCAAATTCCCAAATGAAATGTTACTTACTATTTGGAATAAATTGAACATATTCGATGCTTTTAATTCATTTACTGATGTTAATGAACGATTTGATCGATTAGTGCTTCATCTGCTTCGCATCAGTCATCTTGATATGACCATCAAATCATCATTTTATCATATCTCTTCAATAGACAGTCCAGTTTTCCATAGAATTTGGAAAAAATTCTTCTCTCGAATTCATCATCAATTTAATAAGCTAACTGTTGTACTGTATTCAAATTAATATAATATTATTTCTGTGAAGTATTCTCAATTTTTCTTTCGTTATCATTGATTAATTTTCCAAAAATACTTTTTCAATATTTCACAAGTATATTATTTTATCCTTTGTATAATTAATAAAATCATGAATTTATTAAACATATTTATAATTATCTTTGCTTTTTAAATTAAATGAGATTAAAGACTTCATCGTCTTTTTTTTTCAAGAATAAATTTTGTACGTATATTAATATTGATATTCATGATGAGGCAATAACAAAATGATCTGATACTCTTTCAAAGAAATTTCTTTTAATATTATCTTTAAGTAAAGCATTAATCAATTTAATTTTTTGTCAATTATTTTGTAATTAAAACTTACCGATTTGATTTTCAAATCGATCATAAAAAAAATGCATGTCTAATTGTAACTAACAAGGGAACATTTCCAGGTGTCGGAATGCTTTTCAGTCGGGATTTCGCACATCTTGTAGCCCTTAGTGAGCTCTGTCTATGGTAAAAAAGTTCGTGCCCATGCCTTGTTCTTAGCGAGATGTCGATGTTTTAATGAATTTTCTCACTAGGACCCTACGTTTCCAGTGCAACCATATTTTCGAATTTTGATATGAAACTTTGTCCACATAAAGTCCTCAACTAGACTAGCTTGTAAAAACAAAATTCAGAATTTTTGGACAAAGTCTCTTCGAGATATGAAGACTTCAAAAAATGCATTCTGTATATACTATCAGATGAAAAGAGCCTATTTCTTGAAATCATCATATCCTGAAGAGACTCCGTCGAAAAATTGTGAATTTTGTTTTTGCAAGCTAGTCTAGTTGAGGACTTTATGTGGACAAAGTTTCATATCAAAATTCGAAAACATGGTTGCACTGGAAACGTAGGATCCTAGTGAGAAAATTCATTAAAACATCGATATATCGCTAGGAACAAGGCATGGGCACGAACCTTTTTACCATAGGCACAGCTCACTAAGAGCTACAAGATGCGCGAAATCCCGACTGAAAAGCGTTCCGACACCTGGGAATGTTCCCTTGTAAGTTGAATATCAATGTCGCGACTGTTGATGATTACTTTTATCGTCTTGATAGTCGTCTCCGTTGTTTATCAACACTGATTATGCATGTTAAAAAATTTTGGGTGTTGGCTTGAGTATGAACTGATTGACATTTCTGCGCATGGTATTTCCACGCCGACTTTTCTGGGCCTGACACTACCGTGCCGGTACTTACGCACAAAATGAAAAGTTCTTATTCCGTTCTGATTGTGTTAAATTGCGTGTGCGAATGTGAAGATGAGCGGGTGTGATTAGTACGAATCTGGATGTAAGTGAGCGGAAGTGTTGCAACTGCGGATGTGGCCGTGCATAAGTGACTTCTCTTTGCATAAACATTCGCACTTACGTCAACATCGACAGTTACAGTCACATGCACCCACATCAATACTTACCGAAACTTACACTTATACGCACCTACACCATCGATAATCCAGCGCGAACCTGCACCCAGGCTCACTCTCGCTCACAGCATGCGCATTCAAACCCACACCGAGACCCAGACTCACATTCCTTTTCTTTTATTGGTACAGATAAGTTCGATTAATTCAGTAATATGGAAATGGAACAGTTAATTATACTGCGAAAATTTTATGCACGAAAGCATCATGTCATGAGGAGTATGATTGTAGACGTGAGTAGGGCATGGGTGAAGAATAGGTATATACACACACGACCGTCGCCTACACTCACAGACACATAGTGCAGGGATAGTCCATGCATCTTGTTTTACGATCACTGTCTCGTCGTCATGTCATGAAACAAATATTTGCACATTGGAATTTTCTGACAGTGACTAACTGTTATTGTCCTTGTGGAAGTCTGTTGGATCACAGCTCTATTATTGAAGGGTATTAGTAAAACACGCTTTTGCCCACTCTGACCACCGTTTAATTCAAAAATAGTGTCAATCCATAGAGCATACAATTCTCCATTCATGAGACCCAACACCGACCCATTTTCTTCGAAAAATCTTAGACAAAGGAATCAAATATCATTTTTATGAGTTCACTCTCACCCGCTCTCACCCAGATCTTAACAAGAGGCACAGTGGGCAATTTCTAGAGGGCATGTGGGCATGGCTTATTTCATGTTAAAATCGCATTTTTTTCACAAAAATACTAGTTTCTATCCTTCAGAAAACAATCACTGATGAAAAAAACGTGAAATCCAAAAAAATAAGTTTTTAATGAAAAATCCCTGAGGGGGACCCTTGCCCTAATTTTTTGTCAAAAGACTTTTTATTTGAAAAGCTAATAAATCATATATCATTCGATGCAGTTTTGTGCGCTGATTCTAAATATGATATTTGTATTGAATAAGAGCGTCTCTAAACCCGAGAAAAATTGAAAATACCTGAAAAAACCATGGTTTTTTCGAAAACCTGCTGTAGGGTCCACGAACATTTATGCTAATTTATGCTAACTATGGTTATGGAGGGCATATAGAAGAACATTCTTCTAAAGTTTGAATAAGTTTCAAATTCGGGACTGGAGGGGGCGCTCATTTTACTAATATAACCGTTTGGAAAATCACTGGAAAAAAAGAAAATTTTTTTCTCAGAAATCTTCAGTAGTAATTGACCACTTTATTTTATTAATCGGTAACGGACAGTATACAAATTTATAATATATATTGTTTTTGGTTATCACTTCAGTGGATTCTGTGAAAAAAAAGTGTGTTGTATAGATGGCCCTATTTTCAGGTTGATGTTTAATTGTTTTTAATTATCTCATCTTCCACTCTACTTGAACTTCGTAGTAAAACTTTTAACGCCATTAAGTAGTTCATAGTCCGAAGTATATCTAGCACTAATTGAATCTTGCAAAAGTGCACTTTCGATTTTTCACCTAATGTCCACTTGGTTGCCCACTGTGAGAGGGTGTAGGTACGGGTGTGAGTTGGATCAGAGTGTGCATGTGGGTGAGGTGTCTGGTAGATTTTGGGCTCTGAGTGGGTTGTGATTTGGTATGAGCGTGAGCGTGGGATGTGAGCAAGGAACGAGTGTAGGTGTGAATGGAATAAAGCCCACATCCACACACACAAATACGCACTCCGATATCCACACCTCGCTTACACCTACGGTGAACCACACCAGATCCCATGCCACCACACGTACTCCACATCCACGCCTACATCCAATCTCACATGGTATAGATGTGAGAGTGTGAGATTCTGTTTCGCTTTTGGATGTGTGCGTAGTGATTGTGAGTATTAATTTGGCTGTGAATATGGAGGGTGTGGATGCGGATTCGGATTCGTCGTGGGTGTAAACGAAGTGTAGATATGGGAGTGCGTATTTGTGTGTGTGAATGTGAGCCTTATTCCATTCACACCTACATCCGTTCCTTACTCACATCCCACGCTCACGCTCATACCAAATCACAATCCACCTCGAGCCCAAAATCTACTCCACACCTCACCCACACCCCCAACTATCCACGTCCACACTCTGATCCAACCCACACTCATACCTACAACCTCTTGTTAAGATCTGGGTGAGAGTGGGTGAGAGATTATTTTACTAATACCCATTATTGAACGCTTAAGAGCACCGTGTCTATTCATGTTTATGTTGATATAAACTATGCAACCGTTAACGGATGTACTAAAGGTTTGTAATGTCTCTCGTATGCACTATAATAAACGAACAAAAGGAAAGTTTCGAATTTGCGATAATTCGGAATCGCTTGAAAACTGATATGAATGACATAAATGCTGTCACGAATAGTTCGATGAATATTTTTAGAAAAAATTCTACATTATTTTTCAGCAATTAGAATGATGCTATAGTTATCCCAATGAATAATGCTTCTTCACATGTAATGGAATCAAATCAACAACTTAATCAAGTGATAACTGATGAAGTACTTAAATCATAGCTGAATTCGACTTTATCTTCATCTACGTGAAAAAAAATTGTTTTTTGTAATAAGAAATCTATAATATCATTCTTTAGAGTGTGTTGTAGTTAGCAAAAATAATTAAATAGCTATTCCGTGAATCAATATTGTTTGCTGCCAACAGACAAAAGGTGGGTTCCAGAGGGGGAACGGTGATGCTGCTCTAAAAAATTTAATTAACCATGAATTAATAATCAAAGCTACTGACGAAAGTAAACCGTTCTGAATACACTAGAAAGAATTAAATTTCTCCTTATGTTCAACTTCTCATAATAAAATCACACAATTTACTTGAATGTTAAGGAAACATTTGATTTCAATCATTCACGAGGACTTACAGGCGACAAATATGGCTTAAAAACTTATCTTTCAAGATATAATTTTCATGAACATGTTGATGGTGTGAGTGTGGACGAAGAGATACATACACACATGAATTAAACAAATAAATAGGTTATATATATATGCGGATAAATGCGTCTATCTTTTGTCGACATATTGGACATGACCGAAGTGAATGTCCACATGGTACGCACGTGGCCAGATGGCCACATGGAATACAAGCTAGAGTCTTGTCTTCGGTCAAACACAGTGCGCATGGGCTCGTTGAACTGGTATCTATCGTTCGGATAGGCTGAGAATTGGTACTCGTTGAAGTCTTCTTGGATGTTTTTATCTCTCCGGTGACCTGATCTTTAAGTGTTCTTGAGTTCGATTGGGTCGTAGATGATCCAGACGTAATGATCATTGCAACATTAGAAGTGTTCGATGGATTGGTTAAGGCTGATGCAGCAGAAGATAATGGCGACGATTGTGCAGGAAGAATTTCTAAATGATAGTTATAGCATAGAAGTTATAAAATACGAATGATATTTGAATTTTACTACATAGTAATGAATGGTTAATTGATACCCTATTTTCTTTTGTGAAACATGATTGCTTATGACTGTGAAACTATTAAGCGAGACATTTAAAATTTCATTCGACCTTCGATTGTGATCTTAAAATGCAGATTTATGATCCCGTTACAAATTGTAACAGGATGTTAGACTAATGTTTAGATTAGGAATAAACCAACTTTATCATACGTCCCAAGTTCATCACGTAGGCATGACAGTAAAAAGTTTTATAGATAAATGCATCGTCAAAGATGCACACCCTACTTATTGAAGTAAACGAGCAAATATTGTCCTTAATGTAATCTTGTACATAAATCATTGTTTTATTTAAAGTAGATTACGTAAGTAGGACACGTCATATTCACTTGTCTACATCAATCAGTAGATAGCTACTTTATTTTGATGCCCGTGACACCGAGAAAATAGAAAAGAAGACTCGTACTCGATACAGCGATTCTTTTTTCTATAAACAATACCTGACAGGAATGCTTCGCGCAATTGTCGCATTTTAATACTTGGCACGATGATATTCTCTTTCTTGCCGTTAATAAAATTAATTTGTTTTTGTAGAACAGTGCAAGCTATCAAGAGATCGCAGTCTGTAGCAAAATCATTGGCTAAAAGACAAAAGTGATTGCTAGTATTTCATGTTATAGTTGTGAATAACATGTGTTATTACATACATTTCAAGCGGAGTTGATCTTCCCAACAACGTTTAATGATTGATAATTTGAAGTTTTGGTTAAGCAACTTTTGCGATACAGGTAAATCTAGACGAGCAGCCACAAAACGCGACAATGTACTTTCATCCGATATTATCAATTTTTGGGCATTACTAGTAACATTGTTGGTTGGTTCGTTGGGTTTAGCACGTTCTAAAAACAAAGTAACAGGGTCATTTGATCATGTTTTTTGAGCAGCCAAAAAAGTCTCGAAAACGAACCTTGTGCATTTCGTTTTGATTCCTGAATTTTTCGATATAGATCATCTCCACAAAGTTGTTTTGCGTATCCACAATGCGGGAACCACCGAGCATGCTCAATCGTAGGATTATCGTTCGCACCCCAATTTTGCAACGAACCATTGCAGTAGAAACATGTAACTATCGTTCCATTACCAGTATAAAAGAATCCGGCGCGAACGAGGTCATCAACAGATGGAAGTAGTTCATTGGGCCATGTAGTAAATGATTGATGGCGTTTTGGAATTTCTATATAATATGAGTTGCAAGCGGCGGCAAGCACCATTTCATGAGAACGAAATGCATCGGGAACACCAGCACCAGCTGATGTTCCGTTGGTCACGGAACTCAGATTAATGATTGATACAGGTGTAGCCTCACGACGCACTAACATACTGACCACGAAAGGACATTTAGGCGAAAGTATTTTATGCACTTCACATGGATCGTCTGTATGTGGCGTCCATTGTTGACAAATAAGGTTACAATAGATACAAATTACCCGATCGCCAACATTGCAATTGAAAAAGCCAGCTTGAATCATTTGTGTTTGAGATGGTGAAGTTCGATGTGGCCAATGCGAGAATGTCTGACGACGTAATTGTTTCATCATTTCTACTTCGATAAAAAGAGGCGTCTGAATACTTTCGTTGGTTACTTCTAGTTTTTGACGTTTAGAGGGCTCATCATTATCACTGGCATCAATAGTTGGTAAATCAATACTATTAGTTGTCGATATATGTGACGGAGATAAGAAAAAGTCTCCAGTCAATGGTTTTACTGATTTCACAAATGTGCAATTTGGACTACGCTGCGCATGAACTGAAAATGGATCCATATCCGACGTCCAACGAGTCACTTCTAATTGACAATCATTACATCGAGCTGCATCACCAACATATGTATAACGAAACCCAGCTGCTTCCAAAGAATTAACAGAGTGAACACCTGGTTGTCTAGTAATATTTCGGCATGTTTCTACAGCCTTAGTTAACGTATGGGCACCGTGCGATCTAACTTTCGATTCATTCGATGTTAATACGTTACACTGAATGTCGCCATGTACTCGTGAGTTCGAACGCTCAGGTCCTATTTGATTGAGGCAGCTTTTCTCAGTATTCGATCGTACTTCATCCGAGCTCCTGCATATTTGACTCTTTATACTGGAAATCTTGGAATTAAAGAGTTCTTCCTCAGCATGAGTCCCATCTAGTTTTACTAATGGCTTTAAATTCTCAAATTTCATCGAAGATTCGAGGTTTTGTTTTCCATCATTCAACACAGAAGCATCGTTCACCAATTGCTTAGTTGAAGTAAAGGACTCTGTTAGTGTTTCTCTCATGCTAAATGTCGTAGTTGAAAGTGAGATAGTGCTGTTAGTGTTAATATTTTCGTCTGGATAGAGTTTAATCTAAAAATCTAATCAAGATAAATTGTTATAGCAATTTATTGTTTTCACGTCAAATATACAAATACGAGAAAAATAAATTAGCAATGACCAAATGAGGATTAGCCTAAAACAAGATATGCAATGATAGAAATAATATTCTAGTTTCTAATTAAATTTGGGTCATGTATGATTCTCTCAGATTTATACTGAAGCTTTCTCCTTATTAAACTCAAGCATCATATTATGACCTACACGATCTATACGTGAAGTCATAAGAATTTTCCTTCTTGCTTCTCTGAATACACAGGGTGTCCCAAAAGTCCCCAAGAAAAGTTTTCGTAAATATCTCTTATACAATTCAAGCAATTTAATCGTTTTTTAATAACATGATAGCATATTCTTTTAAGAGAGGGTTCGCCATAGGATCGAGAAACCCCCTACTCCCGAAAATTTTGATCCATTATTTTATTAGTGGAATTGATAGCCCATGAGTTGAAATTACTAAACCCAAAATATGAGCTCAATTCATCATATAACAAAAAAGTTATAAGGACCACATCGACGACTACTGAGTGATTCAGTCAAAATCGGGACTTTTTAGTGTGATACCCACATCTCCGCAAAATGTAATCGATTCCTTAACAATTATATACCATTCGATAGCTCTTCGAATGCTCTACAAAACTAAGTATATGACAGGATAAAATCAAATATTCAGATATGACTTTCCATCAAAATACTGAAGCATGGTCGTCAAGCAAAAGTCAGTATTTTGAGAGAAAAATTCTTAAGGTTAGTTTATCCCAGAGATTTAGATGGTGCATCGGATAGAGCAATGAAAAAGCCACAAAATTAACCTAAAAGAGAAAATTTTTAATCGGTGAAAAAACCATTTTTTTAAACATTTTTGTGTCAAAACTCGTGAAACATGCTGTTTTTCGGTTATTTTTCGACTTTTTTGTGTGCTCTACATACTAATTGAGTTAAAGTGAATATGATATTCGGAATCATCATCAAAAACTGAGTCGACTAATATATGTTTCAACCATATTCGCGAACTTTTTTTTCATCCCAAAAATTCACCCGTGGTTCGCCTGAAGGTAGTTGTCTGAAAAAAATATATTTCATCAAAAAGTTATTTTGTCAGTAGGAAACAAGTTCTATGCTTGTAAAATGATACAAAAACACAAAGCGGCAGATGACTAAGCAATAAAAACAGCGCTTTGATGAAATATATTTTTTTGAGACAACTACCTTCAGGCGAACCACGGGTGAATTTTTGGGATGAAAAAAAAGTTCGCGAATATGGTTGAAACATATATTAGTAGAGTCAGTTTTTGATGATGATTCCGAATACGATATTCGCTT